GATAAGGCAACAAAATAGAAGACTTTCCCACATCAAATGTATATTCTGGGATTTTTAAAAAAAATGAGTGACCTTACTTAAATAAATCTAGTGATGAAAAGGTAATTTAGATAAGAATGTATATTCTGGGATTTAAAAAAAAAATGAGTGACCTTAAATAAATCTAGTGATGAAAAGGTAATTTAGATAAAACCATCAACTGATGAGATTAAAAACAGGGTCATAGGAGGGAGAGTTAAAAATATGAATTCATTCACATTTTCACACAATACATATCCACAGAGCACCTACTATGAGGTCAGGGATAATTCTAGGTGATGGCAACACAGCAAAATAGAGAATAGACGAGCCCTAGCCCTCAGAGAACTCACATAGCAGGCAAGAAACAAATGAATTAAAAACTTAAGACTGCCAGATGCCAGAGAGAGATGAAGTTGGGAGGAAAAATAGTTGACTTCCACGTGGATGCTTTAAAAAAAAAATCCCCACCAAAGGACATAATTACAGAGAGGGAAGGATGGGGGGGCAGGGGAGGGGAGGGAGACACAGAATGGCAAAGAATGGGAAAAGAATGGCAGAGGCCTAAGCTGAAAAATTCCTGCATCCCATACTATATCCTAGTATAATACACATGTCACAGAAGTGGTTGGATAGCATATTGTAAGTACACCAGGGACCTCAGAAGCACTCGGACTCACTGTTCCAGTGAATTGGAAACACAAGCACATCCGTTTGTGGGTGTGACCTTCCCCCAGGATTCTGGGCTGACCATATTGGAGACAAAACACAAAGTCCCAATCTTGGGAATTGCCCCTTCCAACTTAGTAACTTTCTTATTGACTGCAAGATTGACTGAGGCTTCGTGTCCAAAAAATTTCTGCTGGTAAGAGCCTGGCTTCAAAATAGGAAAAATCTTGCTGGTGAGTATTTCTTTGCTGTAGAATTTTCTCCTGTTATAGGGGTCTGTTCAGTGGAAGACTTCTCTCTAGTGGCCTGAGCCAGTGCCACTCTGGTAGAAACGTGAAGCATGAGTGAGTTATTGCTGAGTTAGATGGCACTGAGTGTTCCCTTCTGGTGCCCACCATTCTTTGGCCCTCTATTATATAAAGTTGTTTGGAGCAGTCTGTAGACAGAAAGGCAGGTATGTTTTATCTTTGTGATGTTGAGATGAAAGCTGTCACTCGTAACTTGACAGCATGTTTCCACCAAGTGATGTCCTGTGCAGGGGACCAAGAAGTGGGCAAGAATAAAGGAGATTCAGTGTGTTTCAGGAAACCTTCAGGAAGAATATCACACCTCTGGTGATTGATCTAGGTGGGCAACGGCAAGTCGGGTGGGCAGGCAAGGCCTTAAAAGGCTATTTCACAGTACTGCGCTGAACAAGTGGATAGAGTCTGCACATCCCACTTGTGTCTGACTCCCCTGTGCTAACTCAGCCTCCATTAACAGTGACAACTTCTGTCAAAGGACGTGCCTGCATTTGTTCCCTCAAGAGTGGAAAGATTGGCTTTGACATGCTCCTGGCTCACGGATCCTCTCTGGTTTGTACGTTTTCTGTTTCATTCTTTCCGGTCTTTGTTTCCTTCCTTCCACTTACTGTGGGATTAATTGCTCTTCTTCTTCTTCTTTTAACCTCTGAAAGTAGAAGCTCAGATAATTGATTTTTCAACTTAAAATATTTTTTCTAAGTGTTTTAAAGCTATAAATGCCCTTTTAAAATTGTTAGCTGCATCCCCAAAAAACTTGATATGTTTACAAACTTTCATTTTGTTTGAAACACTTGAAATTTCTTTTGTGATTTCTTCTTTAATTCATAGATTATTTAGAAGTATGTCCTGTAATTTCCGAATATTTGGGGATTTTATAGCTTTTTTGTTCTCAATTTCTAATTTAATTTTGCTTTGGTTAGAGAACATATTCTGCATAATTCCACTGCTTTTAAATTTATCAACACTTGAGGGCCCAGCATATAGTTTATCTTGGTGAACATCCCATATGTACTTGAAATGCATGTATACTTGTAGTTACTGGGTGAAATGTTCCAAAATGTGCATGAAGTTACGTTAGTTGGTAGTGCCTACTATATCCCTTCTGGTTTTTCTACTAGATCTGTCGGTTACTGAGAGGAGAATGTTGAAATATCCTTTGAAGCCCGCTCTTTGCTATGGCCACACTTAGGGTTGGTACATATGTCTTCTGGATTGTGGTCCTGGAAGTCAGGTTTTCTTACATAAGTGGAAGAATACCACCTCTCGCTCATACTGCTGGCCACACACTCTGGAAAAGATCCCGCAGGCCAGCGTGGAGGCTGGCTCACAGGGTGCTCCGGGATTATCACTAACTGTTACCATGGGACCTTGGCCAATCACCAGTCGAGGGGCTGGTGCTGGCAGGAATGGAGTTTTCACAGGCTTGTGGTGAAAGGAGAAAAATAAGGACTCTGTGTGTGTGTGTGTGTGTGTGTGTGTGTGATGGTCAGCAGTCTTTTATTGAAAAGGACTGTAGGTTTCTTTTTTTTTTCAGCGCTGAGATTTGTTGATAAGTGATTTTTAAAACCCATGTCCATAGTTGGCAAATAAAATCGTGGCAGTGTTTGTCAACCTCCAGTCTTCCTTTTGGAATTTTACTGGTGTGTGGACCTGAAGCATCTGGGACCCTGTCTTGGGCACTGCTCTGAGATGTCGCAGATACTGTAGCACATGCCGTCCTTTTCCTCAATAGCTGGTCCTAAGTCAGTGAGTCAGGTCATATGCTGTATAGGAAATAAACCTTAGCTCAGATTTGTGTGTCACTCAGCCTGTGGCATCCACTCCATGTGACTGTTACTTTTGTCTGTGTATTCCAGCACTGTCCTTCTCAATCAGCTATCAGCATAAAACATGGAGGTTTCAAGAGGCAGAGGAGAGAGCCTTTTATCCCTTGTCTATTTCCTCTCTTTTAAAAAAAAATATATATTTTATTGATTTTTTACCGAGAGAACGGGAGAGGGATAGAGAGTTAGAAACATCGATGAGAGAGAAACATCGATCAGCTGCCTCCTGCACACTCCCCACTGGGGATGTGCCCGCAACCAAGGTACATGCCCTTGACCGGAATCGAACCTGGGACCCTTGAGTCCGCAGGCCAACGCTCTCTCCACTGAGCCAAACCGGTTAGGGCTGTCTATTTCCTCTTTAACAGAAACCACAAAACCCTGAGACAATTTCAAAAGGGCATGTGAATGTATGTAAAAAAGGTAAGAAGAAACCTGTGGCAGGCGAGCCAGGGTCTAGAGCAGCGGTTCTCAACCTGTGGGTCGCGACCCCTTTGGTGGTCGAACGACCCTTTCACAGGGGTCGCCTAAGACCATCCTGCATATCAGATATTTACATTACGATTCATAACAGTAGCAACATTACAGTTAGGAAGTAGCAACGAAAATAGTTTTATGGTTGGGTCACAACATGAGGAACTGTATTTAAAGGGCCAGAAGGTTGAGAACCACTGGTCTAGAGGGTAAAGGTGAGAAGTGTTTGGGGAGACCTCTGAGAGCCTGACACCCAGCCCCTATGCCAAGGCATGGCAGAGAACATTCTGTCTTCTTTCCAAACTTAGTCTGATACCTGGGCTACTGTGTGTGGCATCTCAATCAGGACACTATAATATATAAATGCTACGTAGTAGTATTCTGCTATTACTGACTAGCATGCAAATACTTGGGATTATGACAATACCAATGCTAGCAGGTGACATTTCTTGAGCTCTCCCTATGGGCCAAGTACTGTACTAAATGCTTTATGTGTATTATCTCATTTAATATTCACAATACCGATGTAGGTCCTTCCGTGATACTCCTTTCTATATGAGGACATGAGGTTTCTCGTGGTTGAGTAGCTCGCACAAGGTCGCACAGCTGAGAGTGCTCGGTCAAGGCCTGGAGCCCAACCATCGGCTCCAGGGCATGTGCGCTCTCCCCTAGCGGCACTGGCTCTCTTTCTAGTTTGTGCAATGTTTATTATTCTATGTCAAGTTAAATTAGCCTCCAGTGTGGAGGCCTCATGCTATGTCTGCCTAGTTTATTCTTGCTTTTAAAACTTGATCCTGGGGGTTTTTACACGTATATGTGTTCCTTTGGGTGGAAAATGAGAAGCGCAGTCGGTGCTGTGGCTGGGGTGCAGAGCCAAAGCTCGCGGGGGGGTTCCAGGGTGGCTGGGGACAGGGTCCCGGGAAGGTGTCTGGTGATGTAATCTTTTGGTACATCGGGTCCCAGGTACGAAAGCTGGTGCTCTCCTTCCAAATCATGTAATTCTCGCTGGAGCCTGGGGACGAGGCAGAAAGTCCCGCCTTGGGAGAGCTGGCGTAGACAGTAATGTTTCTCCTCAACCTGTTCCATATGCACCAATCCGTTGGTTTTTTTCTTGGAGGAAGGCTTAAGATTGAATTTCTTAGTGAGTCTAACCCAGACCTTTTTTGCATTTATGGCTGTGAGAAAAGTGGGGAAGACTGGTATTTTTTCAGCACCCCTTGGGCTCCTTTAAAAAAAAAGGCTTTGGCATTCTTACCTGTCAGTCAGATTCATCCTTTCCTTTAATCACCACTGCCTCCCACACCACCTCCAGCCCTGCGCTGCTCCGATTTTAGATGCCAACTCTCAACCGTTTGAGTCTCCTGAAGCGCACCTCAGCCATGCTGGGCACTCTCCTCCGGCTGACGGCCACGTTCCCGGGGACCAGGGTGTGGTGCCACTTCCCCTCCACAAGGACAGGTGCAGAGACAAGCAGACAGGATATCTGTCAGGCCAGGCCGAGGCTCATCTTCAGCCGATCTAAAATCTTCAAATGTTCCACCTAGACTTTTGGGCCCTCGCTTTTTTTAAAGACATGGCCCTATTATGGTCATCTGTATCTTCCAATTATAATTTTCACATGGATGACTTAAAAGTACAGAGAAGCCTCTGTCAGCCCATGTACCTGTGGCCTCTCCACCACCTCTGACCCACTCCTGCTCCTCGACTCCTCCAGGTCTGGCCTCAATGCCCGTGACACCGCCTGAGACCCGAAGTGCCCTTGCTTTCTCCTCTCCTGGTGCCATGGATGCTGCAGTCTCCTCCACGCTCGGGACATGCTCCTGAAGCTGAGATGCCCTCACCCCTATGCACACCCACGGTCCTGTCTTCTCTGTCTCCAGCAAAGGAAAGGATTCAGAGGTGGGTTTTTAGAAATTCTCCATTTAGTACAGTTTATTGTATATTTCCACATCCATTAGAGGCAAGGCAGGACTAGGAAGAAGTGAAATTTAAATTGGCACGAAGTTAGTTATCATCAGACCTTTGGGCAGGATTAGGGACGGTGGACACCTGGGGTAGGCAGCTGGGCCTAGGAGCTCTGAGAAGGTGCTGTGACATGCTTGCATTCTTCAGAGAACCCAAGTCACATCGGACCACACGAGGGAATCCTTCAAACCTTTAGGAGACGGTTACCCCACAAACACCTTTGTTTAGAGTACACTTGAACTTCCCGTAAAACTTGCAGTTCATAATCATGCTCTGGACAGAAGCCCAACCAGATTAGGGGTGAACTCTGAATGTGCCTGAGGTCGTCTGGGCTCCCTTCTCCTTCATGGCAGCATTTAAAGAGAACACTTCAGCCACATACGTGGTTTTTGTGAGTCTGATTTTCTTTCATAGAAATGAAAAAAGTTCACTCTACAAAAAGAAAAATCCTACTTTATAGCATATATCATCCCAACTACAATTTCCCTTCATAGAAATGCACAACTGGTACCAGGAACCTCAGTGTGTGGAGTGTCTAGGACATAGAGTTGTTAAGGAAGAAATTGTAGGAAGTCAGGCAAGAGGTGAAAAACGGAACAGTGCGAGTCTGACCACCGAGCTGGAAGTTTCTGAGCACTCACTTATACTCTAGGGACGTCCCATCCAGCCACTTCCATTCGTTTTCATGCTCCGAATCCGTGAGGCCGATCCAATGGCTCTCTCTCCCCACCATCTGCTTTTTTATCCATTGCTGAGCAATAAACCAGAGACGGTGCATTAGTATTTCTTGGAACAGATGTCTGTGGGGTTTCTCCCCCAACATTTAGAAAATAAGGACAATTTAAAAGAGGATGTGTGTCAGCACATTATTCTGCTTTTGCTGTACTCCTTTTAAAAAAAAATATATATATTTTATTGATTTTTTACAGAGAGTGGGGGAGAGGGAGAGAGAGTTAGAAACATCGATGAGAGAGAAACATCAACCAGCTGCCTCCTGCACACTCCCCACTGGGGATGTGCCCGCAACCAAGGTACATGCCCTTGACCAGAATCGAACCTGGGACCCTTGAGTCCGCAGGCTGACGCTCTATCCACTGAGCCAAACCGGTTAGGGCACTGTACTCCTTTTTATTGTACTTTTGTTTGGCACTGTCTTGGGGGCTTTGACAGTTTTCCTCTTATCCTATACTAGAGGCCCAGTGCACAAATTTGTGCACAGGTGGGGTCTGGCTGGCCTGCTCCAATCAGGGCCAACGGGGCCAGGCCAGCGGGGGGAGGGGCCGAGGGTGGTTGGCTGGCCGGCCCCGCTTCCTGGTTGAATTCCCGGTCGAGGGGACAATTTGCATATTAGCCTTTTATTATATAGGATAATAAAAGGCTAATATGCAAATAGACCAAATGGCAGAACAACTGGTCGCTATGACATGTGCTGACCACCAGGGGGCGTGAGCGGGGGTGCCAGACCACGCTGGTTGCTGTCATTGGGGCGAGCCTCTGATGGTTACTGAAAATTCTTTGCTCCCATGCACTGCGCTCCCGCCTGGTGCTCACACCCGCTGCCGGCGCTGTCAGCAGGTACGAACGCCCCGATTGCCCCTGAGGGCTTCTCCACCTCCCCCTGCTCCTGAGGGGCGATCAGGGCAGCAGCTGCCACCGCTTGCACCTGCTGACGGTGCCAGCCCCAATTGCTACGCACCGTCAGCGGGTGTGGCGCTGTCAGCGCGTGGCAGGAGCGGGTTTGCCAGCAGACCAGGGGCCGTGCAGGAGGGGCCAGGCAGGGGCGCGGAGAATGGGCTGAGACCGCCCCTGTGCCCACTGCAGCCTCACGGCCCATGGTTCCTTTTAAGGTGCACGAATTCATGCACTGGGGCCCTAGTAAACTCATAAGTAATATTTCAGCGGTGCTCTTCCTCCTCTAACTCACCCAGACCACTCAATGAGTTCAGCCAGCTCCATCCCCTTCAACCACCCACCCCTCCTGTGTTTGTCTGTAATAGCAACAGCCATGGCATCATGGAGCTCTTTCCCTGGGCCAGGTGCCACATCCAGTATGTCACATGCAACGTGTCTTTATGCCTTACAACAACTTACGTCATAAAGATAAGCGGCTGAGCTGGGATTGGGCCCGGCTCTGTATATCCTAAAGCCCCGGCACCTGATTATATGCTCAATCCCAGTCAGTTACTATGGGAAGCATCTATCTTGTGGGTTGTGTTTCCTGGAGATACTTAGGGAAAAGGAAGGAGGCCACTGGAACAGCGTGGCACCGAAGAAAGAGCATCGCATTGCCAGATGGACCTCACTTTCAGGCTCAGCTCTGCATTATCTGTCATCCATGATTAAACCATTTAAACCTCGTGGAACTTCAGTAGGGTCTTAAAGTTTAAAGGAGAAAATGGCTTGCAACGGTGCCTGGCACACATAAGGGCCAACGGAGTGCTCACCATCACTAGCTCGTGTGGGCTCTGTCCCTATGGACTTTTCTGCTCTTTCTGACCCTGCTGGGGCCACATGTCTGGTCCATTACACCTCACTCTACCCCTATGGTGCTCATGCCTCGTTGCCCTTCTCTCCTCAGGTGCCAGCCCGCAGGCTTCTCTTCTGCGTTACTGCTCTTGACAGCCACCAGGAGGAGCCACACGTCTCCCAGGCTGGACGAGCAATCTTCCAGGTGGAAGCAGGAGGATACAATTCCCATGCCAAGAATGCTTCTTGTCACTGGACAAAGCCCAAATCTCCATAATACAGCCTTCTGTTTTTATACGACCACGAATTCTTGATATCTTTGACTCCCCAGTAAGCATGCAATTTCCAAATGTAAACTATCCCTAAATTATAGTTTTCCCCAACTCTAAGTATGCTGCAAACATACCTGTTCCTCTCTTGTGTTTATGAAAACGAGATGTGAAGACTTGTCTTCACAGAAAAGTTTCGCATCCTCAAAAATTTCTTTCTCGACCGAAAAATAGTAGCATTTATCTGTGAAGTTCTTCCAGTGAGGCGGGCAGCCTAGGAGTGCAAAGGTTCACAACACTGATTAAAAACAAAACAGGAAAAGCACCATGCCTTCTTCAGCTGTGTGCAAGAGGCCCTGCTTCCTACACAGGCCTGGAGCAGCCCCCTGTGTCCGTGTGTGGAGCCTGGACATGCTGGGAGCAAAGACAAGTACAGGGAGCTGCAATTATGGTTAAAACTACATAATCTGGAAAATATCTGTGCTTTGTTCTTCTGCATCCAGATTAGTCCTTACAATGACAGAAACAACAACCAAAGGCAGTGCAGGCACAGATGGTCACCGTCAGTCTGGAGTCATATGGAACCTATAGACAACTGCATGGGAGAACCCGGAACCTAATCGGGCTCACAGAACAGCGAAGATGACCTGAGTGGTACTGAAGGAAATCAAGTGAAATTGGGTGTGGGTCCAAGGAAAGAAAAATAGGCTTGGGTGCAAACCCAGCATTTAAGAATTTACCAAAGATTTAATTATGAAAAGGGCTAGAAGTCACCATAATACCTTCTCAGAAGCCATGAAATCTGGGCTTCAGTAACACAAAGTTCCACCTGCATGTTAAGTGAGGGACGTCTGTCCTCAGGTGAAGGGCATAAAGTGAGGACAGGATGGGTCAGGAGTGGCCAGCCTTGGACTTTCATGAAGGAAATGTCTGGGGACAAGTTTGTCCCTGAGGGCCGACTCAGTTAAATAAAAAAGGGCTAGAGAACCTGTCATGTTTACATGCGCCTATGAGAGCAGCAGAGCCCAGTGCTTCCCTCACGGGTGTGGGGGGAGCATGGAGGGCACACTGGGGTGGGGCCAGCCCAGCCATGAGCACACACACTGCCCGTCCCCTGGTGCCAGGGAGGGCTCAGACTTACCATTGGCCTCAGGTGCTGTGGTTGGCTCGTTCTGCAGGGCCAGGGGCACTGCTGCTCCTGATGGGCCTGGAGGGCCAGGGGGGCCCTTAGGGCCTGGCATGCCTGGCACCCCAGGCAAGCCCGGCAGCCCCCGAGGTCCAGGCACCCCGGGCTCCCCCACGGTGCCTTGCAGTCCCTGGAAGCCAGGAGGGCCCTGGGGGCCGGGGAGTCCGTCCTTGCCTGGTGGGCCTTGTGGGCCTGGGTCCCCACTGGGTCCTTGAGGGCCGGGCTTCCCTGGAGACCCACGGGAGCCTTTGGCGCCCTGAGAGCCTTTGGAGCCTTTGCTGCCTCGCTCTCCAGGGGGGCCGACTGGCCCAATTGGGCCCCTCTCACCAGCAGGGCCGGGCGGACCAGGCTCCCCTTTCTCTCCCTTCTGTCCCTTGTTGCCAGTGGGACCAGGGGGGCCCTGTGCGCCTCTGTCACCTTTTGGACCCCTGGGACCAGGAGGACCTAAAACATAAAAATATAAATGGTACAACATGAAATCCATTGTGATAGTGAAAATTTCACCCTTTTATAAAACTTCCAATTTAAAAAAATCTAGACATACAAAATATATACATTAAGGATTGCTTACTGTTTTACCATACTATTGTTGACAGTATTTTTTTCTTTTTAACAGAAATGTTTCTTTCTAAGCCCACCCCTCCCTCTCCAAGCATTTAGAGTAGCTCTTATTGGCACACAACTTTCTAGTACCCACTGATGTTGTAGGGGAAGGGACATCTTCATGCAGCAGCATCCACACGACTCCCACCATCGAACTGGGTTCTCCTAGTCCACTGGGACCATTTGTCACCAGCAAAAACTGGGCAGCTTGGGATCAAGATTCCCTCCCACTTATTTCCTCTTTTATTCACTTATTGGACAAATATTTATTAATGAGCTGTTATATGACAAGCACCGTAGAAGGTATTGTGGTACCTAAATAGTTGATTTAGAAAGAAAAATGCTATCAAGTGTTGAGAGGTACTGTCCTGATAACCAGAGAGAGGCTCTTCCTGTTGCATCCCACCCGGCGTTCCTGTCCTTTTCACTGGTGCTGCAGCGACACTGCTGTCCTTAGGGTGAGCCTTGCTCATCATGGACCAGCTCAGAGAGACAGGAGGTCTTGGTGGGAAAGTGCTCTCAGGGCCAGGCCTAGGGAGGGTCAGTTTCACTTTTTCCGGATTGTTATTCTAATAATGCAAATAGGGAAGGTGGGCTAGAGGGGAAAAATAGGTGGACCACTGAATTGGCAGGGAAGAGAAGAAAAGACTTTTTTTCTACCAAAAAAAGGAAACAGCAATTCTCCCTGAAAAAGGCAGGGGGCAGGGTGGGGAGGCAAATACCTGCTCATCTCATAAAGCAGCTCACTTTACATAGGACTGTCGTAAGTTCTCAGGGTTGATAGGGAACTTCATTCAAATACGCCAAGATTCTGTATAGTGAATGACAGTTTTCAAGGCACTTGCACATCCATTATGCCACCTGACCTTTATGACATATAATTCCCACAGCACATTTGAGGAAAACTCAGGGCCAGAGGCGCCAAGCTCTTTGTTCAAATCAAGGTTAGAATAAAAACCGATTTTTTCGTTTGAAGCACTATATCCATCACAAATAGGTTATCTAAGATAAGGTTTAATATTTATGGCTGTGGGTAAAATCCTAGCATGCACACAGTCACCAATGTCTCCATCCACAGCTGCTCAGCCTTAGGAAACCCATCACAGAGCTACAGCAGGAAGCTGGGTCTGCCTTCAGAGGCTGGGCTTTGAAAATGTACTGTAGGTGTTCCATACATAAGGGGATTAATCATTCATATACTTTGCTCATTAAGACAATACTTGTCTCATTAAAATTAAAAAATTTTGCTATTTCTTTGAAAGAAATGACTGAGAAAACGAGCCAAACCCATGTTAAAAGTCAGTGCTGGATCCCCGTTAAAAGATGATTAATGCCAGGGACATATCTTCCTCCAGGACCTGGGATGCTAGTATTGTTTTATTAGCATCTGGATGATCCCAGGTTTTTAGGTCTTACTTGAAACTTTTATTGGGTGGTGGTTGAAGTGAAAATAAAATGAAATAAAATATAAGCTACCTTTAGTGCCTTAAAACCGAAAACACTGGGATAAATGATGTGGGAGTATTTATGAGCTTGTGCAGTAATAACTTGAGCTCAGTCGCGAGAATGGTTGCGCTACATGGGGAGGCATGTGTGATGTCCCACACAGGAGCAAAGCTGAGATTTGCTTTCAAGGCCAAGTGGGTGGCTCCCTGGCTCAGGATCTGAAATGCCAGGATACCCATGCTGCTGGTAAAGCCATCACAAGCTCCCGAAATGCCTGAATATGAACCCTGAGCAGGCCCATGTTTGCACTACCAGCAAAACCTCCTCGTGTTCCCCAGACTCCAGCTGGGAGCCTGGAACACCCGAATCCTGGAACCAAGCAGTTCAAAGAGGACAGAGACTTTAAATCACTGTGCTGTTTCTGTTTTGCAACCAAACTGCAGGCCTATCCCTGAGATAACTTTCCAATTGGTTTTCCAACATGACTGCTGGTGCTTAACAGAAGGCAGAGAAACCACTTTAGTTCTTAGTGCCAGCAAAAATCTTGGAGACTCAATTTTAGAACCATGAGTGGTAAGGTTGGAAGAACAGAGGAAAAGTAATATAATCTGACTTATCTTCTCACTTAAAAATCTACTTTGTAATTAAATTAATCAAACATGTATTAAACACCTACAACATGAAAAAGTCATTCTGCCTCACTGAGGTGAAATGGAATGCACAAATTAAAAGGAAATTTGCCCTAGCTGGTTTGGCTCAGTGGATAGAGCGTTGGCCTGTGGACTGAAGGGTCTGGGTTAGATGCTGGTCAAGGGCACATGCCCAGGTTGTGGGATCAATCCCCAGTAGGGGGGCGTGCAGGAGGCAGCCAGTCAATGATTCTTTCTCATCATTGATGTGTCTATCTCTCCCTCTCACTTCCTCTCTGAAATCAACAAAAATATATATTACAAAACAAAAGGAAATTTAATAGGTATCATTTGACAATTATTCTGAAGAATAAATTGCTTCTCAACCTCATGTTTAAGACAGGCTTCTGGAGAGTCATGGGAGCTCCCTGTCTATAGAGGAGGGACATTTAAACTACTGCTCCTCACCAATTGGCCAGTCTGCTTCTATGCCTTCAAGGCCTGTTCTCCAGGATCCCGGACAAGCAGTCTTCTGAGGAAGTGTATCAGGAAGTGGTGGGGTCAGCCAGGAGAGGAACCGAGGCCTCCTGCCTGGTCCACTTTGCTTTGTCCCGTCCTGCAGCCTTCCTGTGCATCTTCCAAGGTTTAGCTCAAATGCCAATCCCTTACTGAAGCCTTAATCAATTGCTTTCCTGAAAATAAACTCTTGTATCTCAACCTCCCTGAATAGGTCATCTGTTCTGAGTCATCGCAGGGCAGCAGGTGTCATTGGAGGCAAGGGCCTGGGAGCTAGACAGACTTGAGTTTAGCACAGTCTGCCATTTACTAGCTCCTTGACCTTAGTAAGTTACTTAGGCTCTCTGGGCCTCCGTTCCCTCCCCTGCAATGGGAGTGCTGATAATTCTTAGCGTAAAGAGATGTAACAAGGAAAGCAGACAATTGAGCCAAGTGCTCAGCAGCGTGACTGGCATATCACAGACACTCAATAAACATGGATTTAAAAATGAGTGAAAGCTGGCTGTTGGTGACACCTGAGACTGATTCCAGGGTTGGGCAACAGAGAGCCAGCAGTAATTGGACCCAAATGAATGTTAACCCTGTCTGTACAATTTTATTCTTTGTGCACATAAAACTACTGTTTTCTACTGTGATATGTTGGCTGGTGCTACAGTAGAAGGGGAATCTTGGATAGGAACTGAACTTGGGTATGAATATTAGCTAGCCCCCTGTCAGTGCTTTATTGACATTATTGCATT